TATGTTGAAAAAGAACTTTACAACTTTGGAGGAAAGTGGGAGGGAGGAGCTGGGGAAGTCTGGAGAGAAGGGATGGTAGGGGAAAAACAAAGGAGGGGAGGTAACAATGCTCCATAGGAAAAGTACTCATTACCTTACTCAGGTAACTGTACAATAAAAAATATATACTAAAAAAAGTTTTTTGTTCATTCTCTTCTCTGTCCTGAAAACATTCTCTACATTTTCTCTAGTTAATACCTAATTATATCTTTAAATCTCAATTCTTCCTTTATAACATTTATTTATTTGAAACATATAGTCAATACTCGTGTGTGTGCATGTGCATAAACATACACATATGCTTACAACTACTGGGGCTTTTTTTCCTCAGAATCTGAATACTCACTTAATTTTTTTATCAAATCTGGTGCTCTACCACTTGAGTCACAACTCCACGTCCAGCTTTTTTGCCAGTCCTAGGATTTGAACTCAGTGCCTGGGCACTGGAGTTTGTGCCTTTTTGTACACAAGACTAACACTCTACCACTTGAGCCATAGTGCCACTTCCAGCTTTTTTGAGTTTATTGGTGATAAGAATCTTGTGAGGACTCTTCTACCCTGGCTGGCTTTAAACTGTGGTCCTTAGATGTCAGCCTCCTGAGTAGCTAGGATTACAGGCATAAGCCGCTGGTATCTGGCTTTCTATTTGCTATTTTTTAAAGAATGTATTTTTTAATGACTTTTTCTCAGAAAAGTAGTGCATACTTTTGTCTTTCATACTCCCTTTAGTTTTATTTCAGAAAAGCAAGCCAAAGCTGCCCCTGTTTTAAGAAAGAGTAATTTAAGAATGTTATAGTAAGTGAATAAAAGTTGAAAAACCTAATTTGCTTCTCTCAATTTGTGAAAACCCTGTAGAAGGCAACTTTTTTCACAATGCATTTAAGTAGCTAAGTGTTGTATAATATAAATGTGATTTCTTTTGAAAAATTTGTAGGCACAAATGCCAATTCTTGCTTGGCATTGGTTGATCATGCCTGTAATCCTAGCTACTCAGGAGGCTGAGATCTGAGGATTGTGTTCAAGACAGCCTAGTCAGGAAAGTCCATGAGACTCTTATCTCCAATTAACCATCAGAAAACTGGAAGTGGTGCTGTGGCTCAAGTGGTAGAGCGCTAGCCCTTGAGCTGAAGAGCTGAGGGACAGCACCCAGGCCCAGAGTTCAAGCCCCACAACTGACAAAAAATAAAAAAGCCAATTCTTGGCTGTGTATTATGTTACATATTCTCATATATGTAGATCACCTCATTCCACTCTCATCAAACTCCTTGAGATTTTTTTCTAAAGTTTTAGAGTTGAAGAAGTTGATTTTCATAGGGGAAAAGCCTTTTTCCTATAGTAACACAAAGTAAACGACAAGACTAAAATTTGAATCTATGTATTCTAAGTCCAACCCAAAATCTTTTTATTGATACAAGTTCAACATTTTTGACACCAGACTAAATAATTCTCTTTCATGAAGGTCTGTGCTCTGCAATAGAAGATATTTGGTCTTTACCTACTAAATGATAATATTTTTCTGGTTATGAATCAAAAAATGTCATTGTAAAATGACCTCATTGTAAAATGAGAATTATTTCCAGTTTGGAACTATTTGTGTTTATTATGATACCTCTACATTTTAATCTAAAACTCTCAATTTTAAATAAACAACTTATAAAGAAAACACAATTGATTGAGCCATTTCTATAAAATAAATGAAGCATGAACAAAAGAGTACTATGTGTTATAGGTTTGTGAGGTAAGTGATTTCATGTAAGGACTTGAGTAATTCTTGATTGTGGTGCTAGAGAGGATATTAGGAAAAGGAGTAACAAAACTTGGACTAAGAGGAAAAGTACCAGTTGAAAGAATTAGCTGAATCCAACAGTTGAGAGAGTTTGTAGTAGGAAAGCAGACATATTGAGGAAAAACTAAATATCTACAAGATATATAAAGAGTCATAAATCTGAAAGTTCCTAGATACTTTAATTAGTAGAATTGGGGGTCAAGAACATAATCAGGGAATCAATCAGGAAACACTAAAAAGACAAAAACAGTGATAGAATGGAAGTGTGTTGTGTGCTACATATTGGAGTAATGCTCACTGAAGGGCAATATCTAACTTGTCTTTCCTTTGGATATTATGTGGTAAGCAGCGTAAGAGATAATGTTCAGTCTTAGTTAATATGAAGTATAATATGAAATATTACTAAGCAAAATATTTCAAAGACTCCCTTTCTATACTAAACTGGAAATTTTCATTGATATTATATAATTTAAAACTAGAAGTATGATTTAAAACTGATTATGGCATCTCATTTTCTTCATAGCAATCACAAACAAGTTAACACCCCACAAGAATATTGTGTGAGCCATACAACTCATTACATACTTTGAACTTCTGAATGATTCCATGGTTCTTCTGCCATATTCATTATTCTTATTATAATTTAAAGTGTAAGTTATAATGTGCTATATTAAGTACTATGATTTAAGTGACATTAAGTTTAATGCTGCTGCTGTGGAGAAGAATACATGTGAAAATAAGTGACTTTGGAAAGAGGTTAAACGTGATGAGATTCCCTGAGAAAGTTAACAGTGGGTCTCTAGTGTCAGTTTAGGAAAGATCAATATAAGGGAAAACAACATTGAAGCAAAAGGCTCAATGGCTATAGATTTATATGTACTGGGAACATATTCTCACTATTTCACCTTCATTGCTATATAGGAAAATTTGTTTATATATATGAACATTTTGATTTATTTAAGACCTTAAGGAATATATTCTTCTTATAAAATTAATATTAACTTTAAATTGACCTTAAAATTAATACTGACCTAAATTTGGCCTTGAAATTAAAAACTGTTTATTGATACATTGGCAGGAGAAAGTAAGTCACAGCATGAAAATTTTTTCAAATATTAATCAGCATAAATTCTAAAGAGGAAAACAATAAAGTCTATGAAACAAACAGAGGGAACATTTTAAACAGGAAGACACACCAAGATTTATCTGAGAAAGCAGTGTTTACACTGAACCTTAGTGAGTAGAAGTTTATCAGGTGGAATCATGGAGGGAAAGGTAATACAAACAAATACCTTGGGCAGGAAAAAGCTTGCTGGGTTTGAGAAACTGAATGAATGTCTGACTGAAAGGTGAGGTGGTAGAAAGCCAGGTAGTGCAGGGTTTTGTAGATTGCAAGTTCAGAGTATTCCAAGCACTTGGAGAATGGCTGTGGATTCTAATTCTGGATCTGATAGAAGGATGTTGGTTAAATTATTTGTTTCTGAGGTGGGGGGGAGGGAAAGGCTGGCAGGGATGGTAAGGGGAAACAAAGGAGGAGGCAACAATGCTTGATAAGAAATGTACTCATTACCTTGCTCATGTAATTGTAACCCCTCTGTATGGTATTTTCACAATAAAAAACATAAATTACTTGCTTCTCTTTGTTTCAATTTCTTCATTTGCTAAAAAGAGTTATTGACAAGGCTCCTCATGAAGTTTGTAAGGTTTAGTGAGTTAACAGATGTAGTTTGTTCGTTTTCAAGATTTTTTTAAGTCTGAGAGATGCTGTTACAGGTTCTTAGCTACTTTATGTTTTTAGAAGAAAAAAGATCACAATCACTCCAGCTACTGCTTCTCTCTTGCTGAAAATTAAAAGGTACCCAAAGCATTTGAATGATGAATAGCTTTTTGAGCTTCAAAAAATAAAGGATGCAATCACATATCCATCTGTAATCATTCTAATTTTATATGCAGCATTAAATGGCCCAGAATTGAGCAACAGTCTCTTTTGTTGGGGACTGATCTGAAATTTCTCTTGAAATGTGTCCTTGTGTCATGTTCATTTTATTCTTAGTGACACCAAAGTGAGAATACTCCAAAGACTTCTGGGTAACTTACAAAGAAGAAATTCAGTTCAGTTTGAACAGGTTTTTGTTTTGTTGTGTTTTGTTTTGTTTTGTTGTATGTGTATGTGTTTGTTTTAAGTATTGGGCTAGATTATCAGCCAGTGCTTAAGTTCACTGACTAGTTTTTCACCTCTGTAAGAATTATATTGCTTTATTTCACATTATCCCCCTGTATTATAAAGTTCAATTGTTGTACTTCAAGTCTCCAATCGACATTTCCTTTGTATGCATATACTGGAATGATTTTATTTAATAAAAAAAGAACATCTCCTATGTGGATTTTAAATTTCCCTTATTAAATATTTATATTTTCAAAATGTCTTTATTTAATTGAGTGAGGTGCTCGGTGCCATTTTAAAATAACCTCAGGTGGTAGGTGTAATGACATATCAAAGATCTGACCTTTAGCATTTTAGGATTCTATTTGTCTGCATTTCCTTCTGCATTCATTTAGTCTTAATTTATATGCTATTTTTGTATGACTTAATGAGCAGATGTATTAGCATAAGATTCATTAATCATAAAAATATATCTGTATACATGATATTTCTGTACAGTCTAACTAGTGATTTTAAGTTCATTTATATCTCAACTATGAAAAGTAGTGGACTGTAGAAGGCTGACCAGTATTTGCACAAACCTCATTCATTCTCATTAAATGCTTGGCAGATAGACCCTGGATCTCCTAAACTGATACCTATTCCCTTCTCACTTTTTTTCAGTCAGCTTATTATATTCTTTTATTTACCCAGAGATACCTTATTTTCCAATTCTCTGCTATTCCTTTTAAAAGAAAATTGAATGTAATATTTACACTGATGTAATTAAATTAACATCTTGCAGCCTCTTTCTGCGTGCTTTGGTAGCATAGATAATCATTTGTCTGGGTAGCTTACGGAATATAACCAAATTTACAGGATTATGATCATACACAATGATATGATATAAAAACTGATTTTTTCACCTATGCATTTAAGTATCTTTATATTGATTTTTAGAAATGGACATTCTAAATGGAAATTTTTGTAATCAGTCTGCATTATTCATATTTAAATTTTGTATTTTCTCAGTTTACATAAATCATTGTCTCAAGAAGAAAACTTGAAGGATCAGTTTAACCACACTCTTAGTACCTATGAAGAAGCTTTAAAAAACCAAGAAAACATCGTTCTCATCACTCAACAACAGAATGAAGAACTAGCTACCCAACTGCAGCAAGCTCGAGCAGAGCACGCAAACATGGAATTACAGCTTCAGTGTGCCGTAGAAGCCTCCCATGTGGCCAGTGAAAAAGTGCAGAAGTAAGTAAATGAATCGCCTTAATTTTAAAAATATGAAACATAACAACAATGAAAAAGCTTTCATTTGGGAATTGAACAGTGTAAACTTATTGTTTAAAAAAATTTAAAAAAAAACTGGCCAGATGCCAGTAACTCAAGTTTGTAATCCTCGCTACTCAGGAGGCTGACATCTGAGGATCGCAGTTCAAAGCCAGCCAGGGCAGTGAAGTGTGTGAGACTCTTATCTCCTATTAACCACCAGAAAACTGGAAGTGACACTGTGGTTCAAGTGGTAGAGTGCTAGCCTTGAGCTGAAGAGCTGAGGAACAGCAGACAGACCCAGAGTTCAAGCCCCACGACTGACCAAAAAAAAAGAAAAAAGTAGATTTAACTGAAGTAAATTCGTTGCATATATTCCTGTTTAGTACCAAAAAGTCATTTTGGGGAGAAATGATGTTACTATTTAGGATGGATTATTTTTATTTAATAACAGATCTTATCTGCTGCAGAGACTGTACTGTTAGAATCATTCCATATGCCCACACAAATATAGTAGTCAAAGTTATTTGAAGGAGGAAAAGGCTGCAGTCAACTTACTACCAATATTCCTGGAGCTTCAATAAACTCCTGCTGGAGGAGCTGGAAAGGTGGCTCAGTGGTAGAGCGCTTGCCTTGCATGCATGAGGCCCTAGGTTCGATTCCTCAGCACCACATAAGCAAAAGAAAAAAAGCCGGAAGTGGCGCTGTGGCTCAAGTAGTAGAGCACTAGCCTTGAGCTAAAGAGCTGAGGGACAGAGTCCAGGCCCAGAGTTCAGGCCCCATGACCGACAAAAAAAAAAAACAAAACTCCTGCTGGAGTTGAGATCATTGACCTTGCAATCTGAGACTTCTAGATACATAAAATCCTGTACAGTGAAATTAATTTTCTTGTGTGTTCTTTTGAAGTATTCAGTGTTTCTTTTCATAATGCAAAATTGTATTTGTTTATTTTGAATGATCTTTGCATTTTTATTAAAATTTAAATAATGCTGCACAGTCATTCCATTCTTATAACAGCCAGCAGAATGTTAACAACTTACCAGGCAAAGAAATTACTTGGTAATTTATGAAATTTGAACATAATAGAATTTTTCTGAGGAATTTTAATGTAATAAAACTGGTCATTGTAATTTTCTATATGTATTGCAGATAGTATTATATCATTCATATGCCTAATTACATTCAGTTTCTAATACATGCATTTTTTCTTAATTTTTATTTTAGTTTCACATATGAAGTTGTGCTTACTTCTAGATATTTTGTATTTTACTTCGTATTTGAAGATAAGTCTTCTCAACCATTTTCCCTAACATCTCTGAAATTTAAATTAATAGTCCAAGTTCAGGTGAATCTCTGTCAAGACTACTGTAAGATAGGTTTGGGAATTACACAAATTAATCTTTACAAGTGTACCTTCAAACTTTTCATTGATGTAAATATATTTTTTAGGTTTGAAGATTAGCTTTATATTCAGTCCAAAACTTTACCTAGTTTTTCACGATGTATATTAACAGTCCAAGAACAATATAATATGTAAGTGGCTCTAATTTCATTGTAAATAGCAATCTTTAATTTTTGGCAGCATCTGATTTAGCTCTGTTAGCTCAAAAATCTCCAAAACATTAAAATGTACATATTTTCTTGGTCTTCATTTCTATATATCACTAAAATTGCCTGAACCAGTGGTTGGTAAAGGATAATTTTTTTCAAGTCAGTTTTTGAAATGTCAAGTTTTATTTAATTTTTTAATTTTAGATCTCATCAACTAGCTTAATGGTTTGTTTGGGGGAAAAAAAACATTTTTAAACCAAGAAGTAGAATAAGAATAATCTCACACAATTACTTGAAATTGAACAATTTTCACTGTAGGACAAATTCTGTTTTATTATCCTTGTTTTGCATTTTTACCACAAACAGTTCCAAACTTTTTTTGTTTTTTTTTAATTGTGAAAATACCATACAGAGGGGTTACAATAACATGAGCAAGGTAATGAGTACATTTCTTATCAAGCATTGTTGCCTCCTCCTTTGTTCAAAACTTTTTAATAAATGGCCACTCTGTGGTTAGTATTGAAGCATATCTATGCTATTTATAAAAGTTTAATGTTAAAATTACAATGTTAACTATTGTAATGTTAAAATACTATGAAATATCAGAATTCAAGTATTATCAAGAATATTATGCATATTTACTTTAGTATGTTTCATTTTAATTGCCATCAGGTAGGCAAAGTGTATCTCCATGGAAGTTTATGTGAATATCATCTTTTTTGCATTTCTTCACTGCATTTATGAGAAAAGTTATCCTTTGAAAAGAAACCAAGTAAAAAGACTTTGCATGATAGTATTAGTCTTCTCTATACCATCTAAAATTACTCTTATTAACAAATACTTGGAAAAATCTTCACAATCAAAATTCTCAAATAACTTATCAATAATCACTACCTCGTGTGTGTGTGTGTTTGTGTGTATGTTATTCTGGAGCTTAAACTAGGGCCCAGCACATTTTATTGGCTTTTTTTTCTCAGATCGCATACTCTAACACTTGAGTCACACCTTCACTTCCAAAATTTTGTAAATTAATTGGAGATGAGTTTCACCAACTTGTCTTCCCTGGCTGGCTTCAAAATGTTATCCTTAGATCTCAACTTCTTGAGTAGCTAGGATCACCGTTGTGAGCTGTCAGGTCCTGGCTGACTCATCTCTAATTTTTAAATTTGCATTCATTCTTCTGCTACTAAGATTAAACTCTTACACTAAAGTTGTTCTTTTTAAGGTCACAATTATTTCCTCTCTTAAATCCATGGCCCATATTTTTATTATACAACTGATATATGGTCGTGGTAAAAAATAAAAATGCTCATACATCTGCAGTAATATAATGGCTTAAAATTTAGATTTTGGATTCATCATGTATAGATGTATACTTGGACATTTTCTTTTAAAACATTGAATTATGTGGTCAGTGTTATACCTACTTCAACGTTGTTGTAAGAACCAAATGAAAGAATGTGTCAGTGCTTTCAGAATTATGCACTTTAAATATTCCTCCTTCTCTTGCCATCTCACTATACCATCTCATGCCTTAGGAGAGCTCTGTCCTTCCAAGAGTGAATGCCTTTACAAACATTGTTCCTTCTGCTTGGATCATTGGCCCTTTCCCCATAGGAATCTTTTTAATCCTATGGGAGTTAGTATAGTAGAGGATAGAAAAACAACTTTGTAGGAAAGTTAGACAGCCTTGGGTTTGAATTACTGGTTTCTTGTGTTTCACTTGTGAGATTAGGGGCACATTACTTATCACCTAGAGGGGAGTGTTTCTCACATAACTCAGTTATTCTGGCTGTATGGGCAGGTTTCTAATAAGGGACTGATTGTATCACATGGAAAATGCTTAATATACTGCAAGTTACTATTTTAAATATTCTAAAAGTTGTTATTAATATCATCATATTTGTCAATATAACAAGACCACTCTAATTTGCTAGAAAGTAAAATCACTCTGTTGTATGTATTGTCATAGTATTAGGGGCAATCTATACATTATTGAAGCTTTACCAGTCAACAATATGTCCAGTTAAACTGTATAATCTGTTGCTATATCCAAACATAGTTATTTATTATGTCAATCATGTTTGTATGTCTTTTCTGCTAAAATACAAGTCCTTTGAGAGTAAGAAATGTGTCCTAAAACTTTACTTAGCACATCTTACCTATTGAATGTTCTTTGGAAAACAGGGAAAGAGATAGAAAGTTTATGTTCTAAACTATGGGAAATATATGCAAGTTGAGATATGACTATATAACCACATTATGTTATTTTAGCACCTACTAAGGTTAGTTAACACCCCAATGACAGATGCAGATGATTTTTAAACTATTTGTTATTGTATTTGAACTGTCTTTTAAATCCCATGTACCATTCCTTCTTGCCTTTTGGAGTTCTAGAATACCTTTTTCTTTTCCTTTACTTCTCTGGCTTTTTCTACTCCATTTCTTTCAGAGAGTAGGTCTACAAGCTATTCCTATATAATGATTGCTCTAAAGATTACTTCTACGTAATTCCAAGGAAATCTTCACTTCCATAGTCACTACCTGTTAGCTAAATGACTTCCAAATCTTTATTTTAGTACACAGCTCTTTCTTGAGATCTCCAGAGATCTCTGAGATTTGAGTTCCCAAGCTTCTTCATTCTTCTCTCAACTCTATAAAAGTCTTCTCTAATAAAGTCCTCTCCATTCTCTTATATTTTCCATCTCAGTTTATGAACTTCAGCGATTTTATCTATTCCCATTTGTTTACTTCTTTACCTTTCACTTTCCTTTTCCCTTGTCTCCTAATTTCCTCCACCCCAGTCTCAGTAATTAACTTGCATTAGTTTAGCTCCTTCTTATCTTTTATCTAAAATATTGCAGCGATCACAAGTCTTACCAACCTGTAGTTCTCTTAAGTTTTATCTTCCTTACTGCCACCAGAGTTAATCTTTCTAAAATATAAATCAGAGCATATTATTTTATCTTAAAACTCTCACTGATTCTTCAAGTTAATGTGAACTATGAAGCATATTACTGGCTATCTCCTATTGTTCTACAATCTTTCGTTTTTCTTCTTAAATTTCTTCTTAGAATTTATTCCTACCTTTTAGGTTCATGGTGCCAAACTTTTTTACTCCCTGAAATCCCCCTAACCTTGCCTCTATAATGCGCTTTTAGCTTGATTCTTCCTTTACTTATCTTTATAAATCTTTTTTTTCATTATTGCTTTTATAGCACTCAGTCTATCTCTTTATTAGAGACCTTAGTGATCTAGGTGTAATAGTTTTGAGTATTTTTATTTTCTATCTACTCCACTCTCTCCTATATTTCCCAAACACAGTCACAATTTTACTCACCTTTATTCTCATCTCCTTCACAAACTCACCCAGCTATCTGCTGTTAGGTACATACTCCATAAATATAATTTAACAGGTGATATAATAATAA